TGCAATCCTCCAAATGCTGCTCCTATATTAATTAGCCTAGTCCTCTGTCACTATCAACCTTGTCCCCCACCGTTCCCTCCAAAATTAACCCAGCACCTGCACAATTTTCTGTAGATGAGAAATTCCTTTAGTCATAATTCTAACTCAAAATGCAGATAGAGTTTCTCCAAGGTTTCTGAAAAGGGAGGAGAGGTAGCAATAGGCAAAGACCAAACAGTGGAAAACCTCAGCCCCTAACACTATGGGCACTTGGATACAGATGAGAAGGAAAACAGTAGGCAGGACTGCTTGGAGCAGTGAAAAAGACTACCCAGAAGACCAGGGGAAGGAGGCAGCAATGGTCAGGACTTCACCTACACACACACACACACACACACACACACACACACACACAGAGAGAGAGAGAGAGAGAGAGAGAGACAGACACACACACACAGACACACAGAAGGAGCCTGGGGACACCCACACACCCACGCACACACACACACACACACACACACACACACACACACACACAGAGCAGAACCACCCCTCCCTCCCAAGCCATGCAGACAGCTGAGGTTACTTCATCCTCCCCACAAGCTGTGGCCTACACCTCATTTTCCTCACTTACATTTGCTTTGGTCTCCTCTGAACACTGAGGTGGTGAGAGAACTTGCCCCGAGGTTAAAGATGTACAATTAAAGAGCCACCAAAGCTTTCAGGCTGCTCTCTGGGCCCCAGGGTCACAACAACTATCACATCATGCACATCCACACCAAAATGAGCAAAGCAAACTCCTGCTAGTGAGGACAAAGGAGCCACTGTTCCCTTAAACAGAGAAAAATCTACTTCTGAACCAGAAAACAATCCCTAAGACAGAACCACATTGGCGAAATTTAGAGCCTCTAAAATACTTTAAATCATCTAAATTAACATTTAAGTGGAAAAAATGTTTCTCAATGAAAAAGTCTCAAATTAAATGAATACTTATCACATTAATCTGAAGAGAAACATGTAAAACAAAGTGAATACAAAAATCAGAACATGAAAGCCTATTACTAACAACCCAACCACTCCAGTTTCACTTAGCTGAACAAAGTACAAAAATAAACAGCAAAAAAATGATGACAAATGGAAAATAGCAGACGTTTTACTGTATTTATATCCAATATTGTTGAGGACCCAAGTACAACAGAGCATACCTGTTAGTTTCCCTTGGAGACATTCCTTTAAGATAGTCTCAATAAGCTGACTCAAAGTCTTTTGCAAATGAGAGACATGAGAGACATGAGCTCCACACCAAGCCTATCAACAACAGGGCTGTCCTGGGCCAAACCTGTCTGTCTCACACACCTGGAAGGTATGGCATGCTCTAAATTTTGGAGTCTAAAAGATCCAGAAGTCAGCTGTGCAGATACTAAAAGCAAAAGACCCAGTCAGGAGATTGGAGAGGAGCTGATCCCAGGCCCAGGCAACACACAGGGTTTCCCCATAAGAAGCTTGCCATAGAACAGTTGTCTCCCACTCTGAAATAAGGCACATTATATTCCAATGCTTTCCCTCTTTTTTCTGGAGGTCCTTCCTACCACAATCTCAAGCTTTCCTCCTTACATTTAAATCTGAGTGGGATTTTTTTTGGGGGGGGGGCTTGTTAAAATATAGAGCAGGATACTAATTGCATTTAATAAAAAAAAAAAAGAAATAAGTGGCCAAAACCATCTTCCATTCATTTTCTTTCTTATTAGGTTTGCTTTTTGCCTGTAGTCATTTTTGTTCCTCTACTACAAGCTTTTCCAGTTCCCTCACTTCCCTTGCCGAATGGAATACCTAGACAGCAGGAGCTCTGATGAGAACCTGATCCACAGCCATCTCACTAGAAGGTACTATCCTATCTGGGACTCAAATTTTCTCTCATTCATCTTCCAAATTTCCTCTGAATTTTATCAGGATCTTGGTACCTAGAAACCTTTAAGATTCCCACACACATACACAAAGGGGGTGGAGCTTTAAGTTACAATTAATAGCAGGTCTTGGGCTCCCTATCATCTTCTTGAGGGTGATCTAAAGATTAGTCCAGAGGACATAGATATGTGGCCCTAAAAGCACCTTCCCACGTGCTGATCACAGCCTTGCAGAGGCCTAATGAGTTGAGATGCATTACCTTTATCACTTTCCCTAGATCCCCTTCAATCCATCACTATGTCACAGCAAGAAGTTAGATTGATCTGACAGGATTTGCTCTTCTTCACAAACCCATCTAAGTTATTGCTGAGAATCCCACATTCTTCTAGCTGTTTGCTGATTGATTATCTGACAATCAGGTCAAGTATCTTCTCTAGAATCACAGTAAACCAACAGGTCTATAATTTCCAATATCATTCATATTCCCCTCTTAAAGATAAGCAAGACAGCAATGCTGCCTCTCTAAAGCAACAGCTAATGCTTAGTTATGATGCACCTAAGTGCCCTGGAACAACCCCATAAGGGCTCACTGATTCTGGAGATAGTCTTTACTCAGATGCAGATCCTGGAAAACAGCACCAAGTGTGGGTCATGAAAACCTTCATTCTAGACTGGTGGTGGTAGTGCACACCTTTAATCCCAGCACTCAGGAAAACAAATCTGAGTTCAAAGACAGCCTGGTCTACAAATCAAATTCCAGGACAGTCAGGGCCACACAGAGAAACCCTGTCTGGGGGGTGGGGGGGGGTGCATGCCCAAGTCTGGGAAGCAGGTTGGTACATAGGGACTTAAATCCCTACTATAATATCTTCAGTATGACAATATACAGACAGGCAGGAAAACAGACAAATGGCCATGCCCTTGAGTGAGAGGTAAAAGATGACACTGACAAGCAAACTGAGGCATAGATCAGGTTCTGCCTGCAAGAACACTGGCAAGATCTTCTGCAGGACAAGCAAACAGAGCTATGGAACTATTTGAGCTTACAATCCAAGTGGAAAACTAGGAAGCACATACACATAAGCATGTTCCAGGAAGCAGCAAACGCAGTGATGGAAGTACCAAGCAATTATGGAGACTCAGAAAAGATGAATCACATGTAATAGAGGTGTGCTGGATTTAGAGTCATGCTCCAGCAGGGCTTACTCAAGGACTGAAAAGTGTAAGGGAAATAATATGGAGCATTAGAATATGGATCCTAGATTCTCAACTCAGCAGACTCCACAACCAGAATTCCCAACCAACCACCCATCCCCATTGGTAGGAGGCAGAACGGAAGTGGAGCTTGGGCAGCTCGAAAGCAACATTCCCTTTCATCTTCATCTAAAGACTCTTCCCTAAGGCACAGTCCTTGTCTAAGCAGGACTGATTCCAATACTCCACAGGCAAGCCTTGAACAGGAAAGAGGAAAGGAAAGGGGTGTAGTGTCTGCAGCAGGTAAAACCACCTACCACTCAACAGACATACCCCTCTAGCAAAAGCTGACCACAAGAAATGAAGCCAGTTTATCTTTCTGTGGTCCTGCCTCCCAAGTCCCAATGGTGAGGTCTTCTCCCCTCTGGTCTCCTAATGAAAGCTACTCTCACCAAAGCAACAGGTCTGTGCATCCCAAAATTACGCACTGTAACCTAAATACTGCAGGAGGAGCTGCCATCCTGGAGCCACCCACACTTGAATCTCCACACTACAATGAACTATGGCACTGGCATCCAAGCATTCCATCATACACCTGGCACAGGCATCTCTCTTCTGCTAATCCAAGCTTCCTGGTAACAGTGTCTTACAAAATACAAGGTCTTTGTATACAGTTGGTAACTAAGGAAGAAAAGCAAGAAATTTTCCTTTCGAACAGCCTGGAAGTGACACCTGTTCAGGTTATCTAATGCCACATAACAAATTATACTAAACCAGGTATGGAAGTATACACCTGTAATCCCCCTGCTTTGTGGGCTGAGACAAAAGGATGGCAAGTTCAAAGCCAGCCTGGGCTACAAAATGAATTAAAGGACATCCTGGACAACACAGTGAAACACTTTATAAAAGAAAAGCAAACAAAAAATATCCCAAAATGCATGGCTTAAAGCATTAAGAATCAACTGTTCAGCTAGTGGTGGCACATGCCTTTAATCCCAGCACTTGGGAGGCAGAGGCAGACAAATGGATCTTTGTGAGTTCAAGGCCAGTCTGGTCTACAGAGCGAGTTCCAGGACAGGCTCCAAAGCTACACAGAGAAACCCTGTCATGAAAAGCAAAAAAAATAAAATAAAAAAATCAACTGTTCAAGCCAGGCAGTGGTGGTGGCGCATGACTTTAGTCCCAGAACTCAGGAGGCAGAGGCAGGTAGATCTCTGAGTCTGAGGCAACCTGGTCTACACAGCAAGTTCCAGGATAACCAGAGCTATGCAGAGAAAAATCAAAAAGAAAGAAAGAAAAAGAATCAACAATTCTGTCACAGTTCCTTTAAGTCAGGAGTATGGCAGGTGCTGGGCTGGCATTCACTTCCAAGATAGCTCACTAAAATGACTGGTAAACTAGTGCTGGGTGTTGGATTACAGTCTGTTTTTACACATGTGTGTCTCTCTGCAGTACTGTTTGAGTGACCTCACAGTGTGACGACTGGCTTCTGCCAGTGTTTCTTCTAACCTAGCCTGGAACCTTAGTTGCACACTGTCTTTTCTACTACATTCCACTGAAGACAGGTTATCTATGAGTCAGTGTAGGAGTGTTAACACCAGGAGGGAAGGTCATCTGACTACCACAAACAGCACTCCTTCAAAAACCACAGAACCCAAGGAAAAGACCAAGGCTGGGAAAGAATTATTTTTATTTCCCAAAGCTGAGATTAGGGAGAAACAATGTATCCAATGCTCCACAGAGACTTCACGGTTCTATCTTGCCCTGGTACACTTGTAACCAACCTGCCCTGGAAGGCAAGTACTTCAAAGAGTTAACTAAAAGTCAGAAGATAGGAGAAAACTCTGGGTCCCAGGAAACAAGATTCTCCTCCCTCCCTCTTGCCCACCCAACCTTTTCTGAAGCAACCATACAACAGTTACCTGAGGATGAATCTGTGGCTTGTCGCACGTGGCCTCAAAGTCCAGCACTAAAAAGTAGTGATACCTCTGGGGAGGAAAGGGCACCATTGCCGCCATTGACGCGCCAAAGCCGTGGGCCGCCAGCTTTCTGGTGGATATGGAACAGAACTCCGGAACACCACAGGGAGAAAATAAGTGGGAGCCCAGCACTTTTCTTGCTCTTGAAAGTAAATATGAAGAAAATCGAGCTGCTCCAGTCTGTAAAGGTGCTAGCATTGAGCATCCAGAGGCATCTAAAACTTAGGGGAGGAAAGTTAAAAGAAAAAGAAAACAAAAACAAACAAAACAAAACAGAACCTGGGTTACTCCCCTCCCACTGTGGCCCAGTTCCATCCAGTCATCAGGAATATCCATGCAACCTGAGCCACACCCCACGGCTTCCAGGCCCACTTTCTGAATCACAGTTTTTGTTACTAAAGTTTAAGACCCTAACACCAGCACCTGCAGTGTTATTACTACAACTCTGTCTCCCAGATCTTTCTCAAAGCAACACACAAAACTGGCTTCATTTGTAAATGGAGCACTAGTTCAAAAGAGAGCAATGAGAGGCCTTCTGTAGTCACTTCTCAGGTGGCAATAGTTAACTTTAAAGCAAAGGGTTCCAAAGCTATTTGAGGTGAGCAACTGTTAGAAGCAGACTCACTCTCCCAGACACTCTCTTCAGCTCTCTTCCACATCTTTGCCTCTACCTCACCTACCTGTAACTTGGCATCTCCACATACCCTCTGCCTTCTCCTAGCAAGAAAGTATGAAAGCCAACAAAGCCAATCCCAGGGAATTCTGCTCATCACATTCTGATGATTCCCAACCTCCACACTGGTAAGCAGCTCCCTGAGGGAACTAGAAAGCACAGCTGGCAACAGCCTCAGGCCTCTTCCTCATTTGCTGCCTTGAGCCTCACTCTCTCCTAGAGGCCCAGGATGACTGTGAGGCCTTTTAAATAGGAAAAGGGAAGAGAAAACCCAGATGTGGCAGTAATAGGAGCATTTCTAAAAGTCTAGTAAAATTTTCTAAGGGAACATGTGCAAGAAGAAAAAAAAACCTGAATCATTTTTCCTTTACATTTTCCCTTTAAATTCACACAATATCTGCTCTCCTCTAAGGGCTAACTAAATATAAAAATCAAAGCCTTAGTTTTACTCACAAATAACCTGATCTAAAAGAGGGAAACAAGGCAGAAGTACAGGAATGTGTCCTTCCCCACCTTAGACCCAATACTCAAATGTCCCCCAATTTTAATTCTCAAACAAGAGATCTTACCATTTAATATATACATTGCATCCAGTTTATACTTCCTGACACCAAATTCCAACAGAACCAAAGGCTTGCCTCTGACTAGCTATAAACAGACACTGTCTTCCCATACAGGGTAGGAAGACAGCACCCTGAGTGAGAACTGTGGCGCACACTTGGGTACAATGAGGCCACTATCACCTGAACAAAAAAGTACAATGCCAAGTATGACTTCTCTTCTCAGCTCTCTCCTGACTCACTGAAAGTCTACAATCACTTGCCTATGTATCTATTAGGATACACACTAGAGTGAGCAATTGACTTCTGTATCTAAACATGAAATATCACAAGGATTGTGTGAAGACTAAAAAAGAATCCTCATGGATGCTAACACAAGCATAGTACTTGATTTTATCATTGCTTTACAGCCTCCCCCAAAACTTCCAGTCCAGGGAGACAAAGGCAAGCTTGAGTTTCACTATGTAATCTCTTGTAAAGGTAAAAGGACCAATGACTCTTGGAAAGCTAGAATCCAAAATAAACCTATTCTCTCACTCACTCCTCAACAGTACTGGGAAAACAAGTGACAAGATGATAATGGCTCCATTACCCATTCTAGTTTAGATGCAATGTCCTTCTGGACCTTAGACCTCTTCTAACCAACTAAGCCAGGAAGAAAGAATTTTGAAACTCTTAATGTGTCTATAGTATACACAGTATATAAATCAACTAGACTCTGCCTGCCAATACCACAGGCAATAGTCTTGACTAACAAGGAGTTTCTGTTCGTGTTCTGACTTTCAGCACCATGGGCATGCTCTGTTATTCAATTCCCTACCTGTAAAATGACAACAATAATAGTATCTACTCTTAAGGTGAGAATGGAACAAGAACAGAGGTAAAACATCAAGAGCAGTGTCCAGCATACAATGGCTCAGAAACTGTCAGCTCATTATCATTGCTACAACCGTGAAGCTGGCTCTTCCCTCAGATAACAGAGTTGTCTCCTATATCCCTATAACTTCCTAGGCCTCCCAAAGGGCACAGTATATACCCTACCCCCTCCCTTGGAAAACACACTGATAGCTAGAGGGCCTTTAATCTTACAGGCTTTGTTTTCCCATTTGATTTTATCCACATCAAGAAGGACCATGTGGAAGTCTTAAGTCTTAGGAATAGATTGGAGAGATGGCACCTAAGTTTGATTCCCAGCATCCACATGGTGTCTCACAAGCATCTGTACCTCCAGTCCCAGGGCACTGGATGCCCTCTTCTGGTCTCTGCAGACACTGCATGCACATGGTACACAGACATACATGCAGGCAAGCAAAACACCCACATGTGTAAAAATAATAAAATAGACATTAGGAGGTCAGGCCTCCACATGTCAACACTGGGTTCCAAACTGCCCTCCTAACAATTCCGATCAAGTCACAGAACAGAGGGTAATGCTTCCTCTTCCCTTTATAAAAAGTTCAATTTGAAAACCATTAAAAATGCAACAAAGAAAAATCTTTATCAATTGGAGTTGGGAGAATCAGAGGGGTCTAAATGAAGAATAAGAGCCAAGGCAGGTGAGAAGAGCATCCATACAGAGGTAGCAAGGTACACTGCATCATGTCAGAGCCAAGGGCAGGCACAGGGGGCATTCATGCCAAAAAGAACTTAATGAGATTCATAGACAAGATAAAAAAAAGTCACTCCCAAGGAAGGGATAGACAAGATAAAAAAAAAAAAAAAAAAAAAGTCACTCCCAAGGGAGGGGTAAAGGGCCAGTAACAACAGAATAGTTACATATAAAAAGGATAAGCAAAGTGCATATATTAAGGATAATGTTTCTCACTACTAAAAAGAACCAAAAACTGTGGCAGTGTTTTGGAATTGGCAGTAAGAATCTGAATTCCTAATTTCTGGTACAGATGGACATGGATATATAAATGTAGATATAAATAAAAGTATAACAGCCAGGTGGAGGTGGTACACACCTTTAATCCCAGCACATGGGAAGCAGTAATAGGTGGATCTCTTTGAGTTCAAAGCCAGCCTGGTGTATAGAGTGAGTTCCAGAACAGCTAGGACTATACAGAGAAACCCTGTTTCTAAAAACCAAAACAAAAGTATGATTGCACACACAAAAACAGATATAAATTCACACTCTAGCATTGACTAAGGATGGGTTAACAGCAGTGAGTATACCTACCACACCAGTGCCTTCCCAATACCACACTGTCCACAAAATGAACCAGAACTCCTTGGAGAAATGGCAAGAAAACTACAAGATAAATCTAAGACATCCTACACGAAAGGAAGGGAATGCTCAAAGAATAACAGAAATATATCAAAGGGACTCAAAAGCCACATTGAGAGGACGCTTGCTGGTTAAAAAAGAGTGATGGTGACGGAGCATAATGTAATGAATAACCAGGAAACCATGAGTCCATAAAGATGTAATAAATACTACTAAAATCTATGGAGGTATATAAAGATGGTTTCAATATATTTCTCCACAGAATCCTTATCAGTTACAGTAAGAAGTAATTCTGTAATGGAGAGGAAGAGCAGACATCACCTTATACAACCAGTCAAAAATAAGCATCATTGCTAGATGTGGTGGCATATACCTTTAATCCCAGCACTCAGGAGGCTGAGACAGGAATACAAGACCAGCTTTGTACACAGTGAGATCCAGGTCAACCAGGGTTGCATGGAGACCCTGCCCCCTCCCCCATCAAAGGCACCAATAATGGAATAAATCAAAATCACATGTCATGCCACTTGACAAGATGTAATGAGAACAAAGGATCATTTCTGATATCCTGCTGAAGAGGCATAATATGAGCCCAACTGTAAGAAAGTATCAAACAAACCTTAACAGAGGAACAATACATAAAATAACCAGCCCATAATCTTCAGAAGTAAAGTCATGATTGTCAAGGAAAATGTACTGAGGAAAGTCTAAAGAAGACTATGGACTTGAAAACTAAATGTCAACCAGTAACCAATCATACCCTTTTGCTACAAAAAACATTTCTGGTACAATCAACAAAACCTGAATGGACTAGATAGAGTTTAACATATCAATGTTAATTGTCTGATTTTGATAGTTGTATTGTAGCTGGGTAAGAAAGGGACCTGCTTGTAGAAAATACACATCAAGCAGGGCAATGGTGGCGAATGCCTTTAATCCCAGCACTCGGGAGGCAGAGGCAGGTGGATCTCTGTGAGTTTGAGACCAGCCTGGTCTACAAGAGCTAGTTCCAGGACAGGCTCCAAAACTACACAGAGAAACCCTGTCTCAAAAAAA